TTCAATCCCGGGCCCTAAATAGCTTCTCTTAAACAAATACTAGAGATTTCAGAATGAGTAAAATGTGCTGTGCTCGCTTCAGCAGCACATATACTAAAATTGGAATTAGTAAAATGTGTCCAAATATGGCCAGTAGTTTGAAGGCACTTATTATCTTTTCATATTCCTATAATCTAAACCTTCATATTATTTTTTAAGTCCAAAGAATTACTGCTTTTCATGGGTAATTCTGGCACAGGGTCATGGAACTTTTGATCTGAAAGAGACTTTATTGGTGTGATCCAAAAAATATAATTAAAGTTTAAATTTTTAAAGATTTTATTATAGTAAAAGACATATTACCATTCATACCCTTCAAGATAGTCTCTAGGGCCGGGGATTTCGCTCAGTGGTTTCGTTGCCTGCTGCGCAAGCTTGAGGACCCGAGTTCGATCCCCGGTACCTAAAAAAAAAAAGATAGTCTCCTTTGCTTCAAACACTTTTATTCATTATTCTTGTCAGTTTCTGAAGCACTTCTGGAAGTTTTCTTTCATGAGTGTCTTTATTGTTCTACTATTTCTCTCTTGATGTCCTGAATCAATTTAAAACATTTACCTTTGGTAGTCATTTATCTTTGTGGAAGAGCCAGAAGTCACAGTGCCAGATCCAGTGAGTAAGGTGAATGAAAACACACTATAATGTTTTCATCTAACAGAAATTGCTGTAAACATTTTAATCGTCAGGACATCAAGATAGCCATGAAAAGACACAAAAGAAGACTTCCAGAACTGCTTCAAAAGGTGTCAGAGGCAATGGGATATGTGTGTTCTAAGTAAACGGGAGTGTTTTGAGAGGGATTAATGGCAATGTGTCTTTTACTGCAATAAATTTTATCTAAACGTTTACCATAGTATTTGATTATGCCTCATAGATATTGTCAAATATTATAGATGAGAAAAGGTACCCCAGAAATAGTTAATTATTTTTAACACTGACCAGTGTGTGTCCAAAGGTCACAACTACTGAGCAGCTGGAGACCAGTCCTGATTGGTTCCCATCAAGCAACAATCCCTCTCTCATGGAAAGTGAAAACAACTGCAATAGCAACAAAATTAGTTAATTCTTAATCTCCATAATAAATGCTCGACAGTTTAGTGATTAAAACAGATTGCATAATTGTGTTTTAAAAGTTGAGGAATTAAAATAATAACCAACTCTATAATTTACTTGGATTTCTTGTCAAAATGGCATAAATTAATTTTCCACTTACTTCACAGAGCCTTATAGAATCTGCCAAAAGCACAAATGAGAGATGAAAAGGTTTTTAATGTTTACAAATCTTTGTTGATATCTCTCTATACCAAAAATGTAATTCATTCCACTTCAAGCCTCCTGTCTTACCTAGGGTTGGAACAGCACTGCAGTTAGGACTTGTCATGATGCCACCCTAGCTGGGACAGCATCACATTGTTTCATTTGCCCTAGCAATGAGCTCATATGTACTTGTAGAGCATACAAAAGACTATACTTCATTGGTTTCTTTATTTCTAGTGTTTGTAGATTTATCATCTACATTTATTTACACTATACTGTACTTCCAAAGCATTGTGCTGGGTTCTAATGAGAACCACAAAAAAAAGGCAGGCATGCTGGAAGAAGAGAGGAAGGACAGAGGAAAAAGAAAAGAAAAGAGGCTTAAGAAATTATTCCAGCCAATAGACAAAATCACAAGTTTAGTCTGAAGAGCTAATTGGCTTATATTTGTGACTCTAGAAGTAAATATCTCTTCAAATGAATGAATATTCCAATGAGCTGAGCAGAGGAGACAATGCTTTATAGGAAGAAAAGGTTGAAAAGAGGCAGAAACAAAATAAAAAGCAGATTGGTCATTTCAAAGCTGCATTCCTCAGAAGATCAAAACAGAGGAAAATTCTGTATTATGCTAGTTGTTAGGTAAACTGGCCTACTTCAGAGTTCTGCTTGATTAAGTAGTGTTCAGCACAAGGGACTGTTTTCTGGTTTGGTTTGGACAACTGGAGTCTAGTGCAAGATGCTGATACAAAGCAATGTTTTCTGTTAACTTCACTGGACACCCCAGCACAAGAAATGAAACCCAATGTTTCTGTATTTCTGGTAGGTTGGGTCTATCCTCAAGCATGTACCAGCGAATCATCCACTGTGTTTTCCCTATTATAAATGCAATTGCTCATAAAATGTGCCATTAATTTAATAGCAACTTTCAGGAAACAAAATTACATCAAATATTTATGTTAATAATAAGACACACTGAGCAGGAGGCCCAGGGCTGCCCCTGCTGCCCCAGTGCCAATGCACAGAGGCCCCAGGCCAAGCCCCCTGAAACATGCCCCTAGAACAAGCTTTGCAGGCCAGGCAACCAGACCATGCCACATGGGCCCCTCGGTATCTGGATCTGCACTGCAGAGGCTCATGGGTGGGGGAGTAAAGGTTATCGTTATGAGCACCAGAAGATAGAGCAGAAGTGAACAATAGAGAGAGAGTCTCTCTGAAGCTCCTCAATGAAAATTGAAGCCTACTGGGAAAGTGAAGAAAAATCTCTGCAATAAAGGCACAGCAGACCACCACCATTGGTAAGTTGGTGGGATCAGCACCTCCCATAGGTACCCAGACTCAGTGTGGGGGAAGGGCAGTTGGAACCTGCAGTAGAAATTTGCAGAGTTCAATCCTGCAGGAGACAAGGGACCTCCAACTTGGGCCTTGTGGCCAGGAATCAGTCTGAATCTCAGTGAAGTACAGCCAACTTGCTGAGACTAATTGACTTAGATCTGCACACTACTGCCCACATTGTCTACCATGGCAGCAGAGACATACCCTGAAGGAGGCCCCTTTTTAAAATTCTTTATATATTTTTTTTCTTTTCTTTTTCTC